TATATATAAATTAATGTTAATTATTATAATACACGTAAATAAATAATTGAATTGTATAAAAAGTTTATTTCACATAAAAGGATTTTTTTAACTATTTTTTATAATCGCAGATTTTCAAATATCATTTTTACAGTGTTTATAAAGCATTTCAAAATAACGTGCAACCCACGTTTAGCCGTGACTAGTTCTCCAAAAATTCACTATTCAAATCAATGTTTTTTCAAAAAAATGTCCACAAAACAAGGGCTAAATCTGTTGCTGCCAAAAGAAGCCAAAAATAAAAGCGACCACATTTTCCATAAGAATCAATGAGCCTATTGTTGCTGAAGATCTCACCACTAAATAAATATCATGTTTATAACTGTCCATCTATGAGATAGTTTATTACAAATCTAAGACTAAAATGTTGAAGTTGGCCATTCTACAATTTCATAGGCGATGCAATGTTTGTTTCAAAACAATAAATATATCCACTAGAAGTAATGCATTACTAGATCACACAGCGTAACATATTGTAGCTAACTTGTACCTGAAGAAGATGCCGAAGCAGACAATGCAATATGGTTTGAGCTTGCGGAGACGGCTCAAAACATGGGAACTCCGTGCAAGCTGAGAATGACATTCTTTGGGAAACACCAACTACAACACCAGCATTAGGAAGTAGACCAAGAGGGTATACCTCACGATCAAATTCCAGCTCTGGGTCCAACTAAGGGTTCACATAAAAGCAAATAATTGAGACAAATGAAATAACCCCCAAAGTCAGAATTCTCATACAAGCATATTAAAAGAGTGCAAGTATCACTTAGTTGTTTTAGTAAGTTTCCTCAGCAACATTAAACAATCTTCTTGAAAAGACCCTAAGCTTAGTACGCTAAGTCCCAAAATCTATCCTAACCCATTCCCTATCATCTGTCCTTCTAGACAGACAGCTTAAAAAGTAGTGTAAAGAACTGCCAACATGCTTGTTCTTGAATTTAGACAATATGCAGTTATGCACCCAATAGATGGTAACCTATCATACCACAAAGGAGTCAGAGAGAGCAATGTTTCGAGATTTGATCTCATATCACCATTTCTTTGAAACCAAACATTTGAAAACTGTATCTAACTACTTTATAACTTGTTTCTGAGACGCATTTCCTACACCATCTAGCCGATAGCTTCACAGATGAACATGGAAGGTTCTATTAATGGGTTAGTTTAGAAAATCACATACATGCAAAAACATTTCAGATACAAAGGGAACATATAATTACAATATTAAAAACTTGAATACCTGCAAGAAATCTTCCTGCTTAAAAGGGTCAGCACCTGGAGACGGATACCAAACCTGTAATAATAAGCTTCCAATAATTTTTTATATCGGACAAGTACAATAAAATAGTATATCGGAAGAATTAATTGCTACAGAAAACTGTTACCTGCATTCCACGATGTCCATAGTCTAACCAGGAAACTTCCTCAATTAAGTTGGTTTTGTCATTTGATTGACCACAGGTAACCCAGAATAACTCAACAGAGTCAGTGAGGCCTATCTCCCGCCCATCATCCAAATCAAGTAGGGAAAGCTCTCCAGTTGTCCTCAGTATTAAACACCTAAAAGGCACTTGGTCAATCACCAGAACATGGCACCGAAATGCGCTATTTATCAGGTGGAAAGTATAAGCAGATACCTGGCAGGTTCTCTTGCTACAAAATCTGACTGAGAAGAGAGATCATTTCTTGAGATGTAATCCATTGGAAGCTGATCAGGGATAAAACGCATAGCAGCAGGATGGCTCTTTGCTGTCATGATTGAGAGCTCTCGTACTGTAGAAAGCTGTTTGTCATTTTATCACTTAAAAGTGCTTGAAGAATAAATTTTTATTACAACAGTATCATGTAAAAAGTAATTTTTAATATAATTAGCTTATACGGTCTATCAAAACATAGTATCCATTAATTAATTCTAAGATAATAAGTGTGTCATCTTTAAAGCATTTTATTACCTGTAAATCAGGAGTACTGGAAGGTGTCAATTCACCAGATAATTTTACATGATATATATGAACATCAAACGGGCGATACGTGACAAGTAAATAATCTTGATAAATATCGATGACCATTGGCTCAGCGAGCAATGTTTTCCGACAAAGCAAGGAACTCTGATCGAGGTGATATCTCGGGTAGAAAAGCAATTCATATCTGCAATGACAATTAATATGATGGGAACCAGATGTTACAGGTATAAACAGACGATTTATAACAGCCTTTGCACTAAATTAAATGAAACTTTTCAAAAGCATAATATTGGAAGCTTTTGCAGCATAGATATGCACAATAGTTAATGAATTGCAGATAAAAATTATCTTTAAAAGAAAGGAATGTTAAGAAAAGAATTGTGGTAGAAACGAACGGATAAATTGGATGTTCATAGTTCAGATCTTATAAGACATTATTCTCCTGTTGGGGTAGAAGATGAGTTAAGTTGAAGACTTATACTCGAAGTTATATAGGCATTTTCAATAAAATATTTGGAAGTAATTCACAAAGATTTTGAGCTTTTCAGTAACAAATAGAAACATTTTTCAATAAATTGTGGAAAAAACTACAGAGAAAACCGACAACAAAAAATCTATCAAACCACTATTTGCTCCTCCTCGTCATTTAACAAGTTCACTTTCCCACAATTTGATTTCGATCAATCTTCCAAAACTTGATAGAAGCAATTATATTCTATGACTTTCCACACTGATTCCAATTAAACATTTTAAGAATTTTTTTAATGCTTTAAAAACCATGGTTCTAAAATCAGATTTCGCCCCCAACTTTCCGCACAATTGCATGATGTTTTCTACCAAGCAATCTCCACATTATCTAGTGCTTTACACATGATTAATTAACCAATCTGATAATATTGAGAAGGTAAGCTAGACAAAGGCATTCCTTCAAATACTTTCAAACTATGGGCCTTGTGCTCTGATATTGTACATATGTAGGCAAAAAAGTATGGAATGTGATTTATTTAAATCCAATATGCATTCATTTTTTTAATAAAAAGTTCACAATCATTCTAGTGTTTTTCTATAATCACTAACAATAAATTAGAAATTAATTAATCTTCGAGAAAATCATTCTACAAAACAAAGGATGTGTCTCAATTTACGTTGCTGGGACATAGGTATGCATGTTGTGTATTGCTTGGACTCTAGTAACAGTATTGGGTACAATTGTAGATTCAAATGTCTAAAGGTGAACTGCCACATTTTAGAACCCAGCGCTCAGGAACGCTTTTTCGAGAACGAGGTTTGTGCAAGCAAGCAGCAATGGTAGGAAGAGTAGAAGCTGGAACTGCTGGAGCAGATGCCTATGAATACTAATACTCGTATCCGGATTGGATTTTGATCATTAATACGAGTAGGAGGTTCGCGCAAGCATGCAGCAACGTGAGGAAGAGTAGAAGCTGGAACTGCTGGAGCAGAGTCATATCAATTTCCGAAGAGTCAGACTCGTATGATGTGCTCGACATAATATTTCATGGTAACCAAATAGGTGAGCAATATCCATATGTCAAAATTTTAAAATGTCTGCCAATATTTTTTCTCTACAAGCAAATCTATCTACCTAAAGTAATTCAACTCTTCTTCGAAAAGTAGCATGTCAAACTTTTTTTTTTTAAAGGCAATCAAATATTTTATTAATCAATACGTAATACACATTAATGTATTATCGCTTTATATCAGAAAGTAACAACATGAAATTGGGCAGCCCGTCTTTATGCCTAGTAACTGCAGCATTAAACCAAGTATACAAAGTCAAATAAAATAATTCTCTAATATGTTCTGTAGTCCGTGTTAAATCTTCAAAACAACGGCTGTTTCTCTCTCTCCACACACACCATACGATGCAACCCGAAATAAGGTTCCATACAAGTTTGTTATCCTTATCTCGAAACTTTCTTCTCCATGCCTTTAAAATGTCTTCCATACTTCTCGGCAACACCAAATCCATGTATTGCGACGCCGGAAAACATGTCAAACTTAAACCTAAAATACTTCCAAATCTAACGTGCTAAATTTATTCCTCTAATACTTCCAAATTGAACCTACTCCAGATGCTTTTTTCTTCACAACAGAAATCTTCATCATATCTTCTTACGTAATTTTTTGCTCTCTAATACCCCTTTTGTCTCATCCAAGCTACTATAAAAAATAAAAATACTTAAGATGCCAAAAGCCTAAGCAAGAAGCAAGTTGGCTGAGGCTGAGAGATACATAATTACATCAAGATGTCCAATATACATAACATTTTCCGGAGAAATAGTAGAATATAGTTAGTGGTTCTAATAGGACATAAAAAAATCATCCAGAAAAAAAAAATTTAGATGCGCTTACGTGTTGGAAGAATCAACATAGTTACAGACAACAACAATTTTTCCCAGCCATAGCAATCCCCTGCATTGTATCTGTTGTTCCTGAGTAATATCTCCAAACACTCTCCACTTTTTCAGTCGTATATCATACAGGATTAAACCATGAAGACCAGCAACTGCTAAGTACAGTCCATCCTTGCTAGCAGCCACGTGCATAACTGGCCAGTTTTGGGAAATATATGAAATCTGGCATAAGAAAAATATTGTGAGAAACAACAATGTGCAAGAAATTAAATAAAAACCAACTTCACAGGTGTCGACCCATAACTGGAAGATTGAGGTGCAAGATTTTGAGTTCTTCAGTGTCTTCAGACTGCACAACTAGTAAACGGTCTTCACCATAGATAACTTGGCGTACATAAGTTGTACCAGAGACACCTCTATTGAGGCAGCATTTGCCAAAAGAGAAGGCAATAATCCTGTCAGAAGATCCTTCCTCAATAGCATAAAGTCTATATCCAAATTCATCCCAATGCATCAGTGAGGCACCGCCCATCATCGGTTCATACTTGTGATCAGGGTTTGGCTTGATTACAGGAGATGAAGCAGAACTCAAACCTATTTGACGGATTGTAGACATTAAGCGACACCCTGAAACAGACCAAACTGTAAGTCCTCTTAACTGCCACCCAACAGCAAAAGCAGAGTTATCAGGTGTCCATGCAATACAATTGACAGGACCAGTATCTTCTACAGAATATCTGCAAAATATTTATAAAAAAAATAAAAACAATTAAGGCATTAAATTTGCTCCAATATGAGCCAAAAAATTGGAAGATTGTTTAGAATAAAATAAGATATATAACAATGTGGCATATAAATTAAGAGAGGTATATTAAATGTTTTTCTTCCGTAAAAAATTGTAAATTAAAGATCTCCTTAATGTCTTGGACAGAATTAGAATGCCATTTTTTCCTAGGTGCTCATTTTTTATGGGCTTTTAGTTTAATGTTTTGATTCACGTATGTGTTTATTGAAAAGAACTTATTTAGTTCGTGTTTGGGCTAATATAAATTAAAAGTTGCTCCTGCTAAGGTGCTTATTTTGTATGGGCTTTTAGTTTGATGTTTCTATTCAGTGGACGTGGTTATTGGTAAGAACTTATTGAATCCATCGTTTGAGCTCATAATAAATTAAAAGTTGCTCCTGCTACTCAGCTGAGAGCCTTGAGCATTGTGCAAGGATGTGCTATAGGAGCAACCGATTACCTTCTAGGTGAAATTGCCACAACACAGGTGTTCTTCATAGCACGAATTATTGCAATAGAATAACAGCTAGGAAGTAGTTTCCTCTTCATGATCTTCAATTAAAATAATGATTTCAATATGCTTTCCAGAACATGTCACAGGAACAAAATTCAGCATTAAGTTTGACCAACTGGCTTAGATTAACATATCATGAAGAAATTTAGAATTTTCAGCCTTGATTTCAATGAGTTCTTAATCATAAAAGCATTACATTACAAGACTATTTATGGTAAACGGCACTGTTCTGGTAGTTTCAGTATATATCTTCTATATCAGATATCATTACTAGTGAGTCTTCATAATGATAGGGCATCAAATAAGAGTTTTCTCAAACTAATATTGAAACCTTCCCCTGTTCTAAGTCACATCACAGAACTAGGTCATTCCAACATTATTGACCATACAAAATTTTATTCACAATACACATCGCATAATGAACCACTTCAACCATTTTACATTAAGCTCCATATCCAACGAAAAAGAACCATAAACTGAATCCTCAAGTAAAGTGATCGGACAGTCAATAAGTCGCTCCTGTTATGAACATAAGGTATGCTTTAGTAGCGATAAGGAGCAGATCTAAAGTTAAGATACTGGATCTCTCAAGTTTTAGTAATACATTTGCTAGTTTCTAAGAAACTTATCTCATCAAACCACAGGCTACATTCCAAGCTTCTCCGCAAATGGAAAAGGCTTACCCCCAATCATGCAAGGAAACAGTACGAATAAGTGAAGCAGAGTCTGCAAGGTCATATAATTCAATAACGCCTCTTTGGGTGCCAACAGCAAGAATCTGCTGCTCTGAAGCAACCGCTGCACATACCACATCACCAGAAGCAAACCTCCTTTCAGCTTTAATAGAGTCTGCATGCTTTAGACCTTTCTTACTTGTAGAACATAACACGAGTTGTCCATCAGAAAATAGCACAAACAGTAACCTCAAAGGCATGGAGAACTCAAGCTGGATCACAGCAGACTTCTGTGAGACAAAATGGTTGGACGCACGAACCCCTTGAGTTGCACCAGAAGCAAGACCATTACCCAAAGAATGCAACAGTTTACTAGTGGCATTGCTACCTAAGAGCCCAAAGTCAAGATGAAAAGCACCACAGAACTGCATTCAACAACAATATATAATAATGAGCCAATTTATTGCATCAGGTTACGTCAGTTAAAATTTATAACAATCTTCAAATTATTTAAGCTAAGAACAAAGCAGAACACTTAAACCATCACCCGTGCTGAAAAGTTCAACTAGAGAACATAATGGCTTGATCATATAAGCACAAACTTCTTAAATTAAAAAATGACGATTGATGATGACCACTAAATTCACATACCTCACCCTTCCAGGAAATGTTATACAGTGACCCATCTGAAAGTCCAATTAGCATGTGCTTGTTGTCACAAATAATGTTGCTTCTGTCATAAAGAAAGAAAATCAAAATTACAATGAGATTAAAAAAAGTAAGACAAACTGTAAAAATTAAAAAGGTCCATTAAAAGGATAGACAACTTCATCAATCAACTTTTTCTCTACACATTTATCCAACTCAACCATATGCAATACGAAAGAAAAGTGGCAGAAAGCATTAATCTCCAGGTTTTAATAATGAAGAAACTTTTTTGGCAGTGGATCAACTTTATGATGTATCAGATAGATAGGACCATCAGACGAGGGAATATTCTATTCTAAAAGTTGATGAAAAGTTCAAACTTCACTTTTATCGACAAAATGAGATAAATTAATCTAAACGTCTAATGTTTGTAGGTCCAAATTGATTAGACCCTTATAGATATCTTGATATTCACTTAGGGTGCTTACAAAATCATTAAATTGCCAATGCTCAATATCTCAAAATCCTTGCCTTAACACGCACCTCCTTTACAGCACATTGAAAATGGTTACAATTATGACATAATTCTATAGATATTAAACATAAGTAAATTAACTATGGAAGGGAAAAAGTTACGTCAATGAACCAGACTTATAAGCAATCATACTAGGTTGTATACTTTGTACATATATGTGCATAAACCACACAATTTATCATACAAGAAGTTCCTGGAAAACATTCTTGCATTTCCATAGTTTCGGGCAGACCACCACCCAAAAGTACACGCATGCACTCTTTTGAAAGTACAAGAAAGTATTTATTTAGTGAGCTCCCCTAAGTTTGGCCAAGATAAACAAGTCATACAAATCCGTAATATTAAAAAATCCAAAAGCAAAAAATATTGTTGGTGCTCGTATTCTTGTAATCACCATTAGCCATTTCTTGCCCGCCCACCACAACAACCACCCAACCCCCTTTTTGATTTCTTCGTCATCCATGGACAGCATTTTCCATTAAAGTTTATTATAAGAAACTAAGAACTTCCTTGTCCGACTATCGGATTTTTTCAGAATGCTTTCTGCATTTTGTCACTTGTGATTACTAGTTACTACTATGGACTTTAGCAATGTTCCAAAATTTTAACAAGATAGCTTTAACCTCAAGCTGTATATTCAGTTCTTAAAATCTCACAGAATTTTCTACAACCAGATGGGTAGCACCATGCCATCTCTGTATTAAGCGCTGACCCATTTTCCATTTAGTTTCAGAACAATTAAAGATAAGGCTATTTTTAAAGTACGGTTCAGACAATATAATGCTATGTGAAAGAAGAGGAGGACACAGACTTGAATTTTTCCTTCTTGATAAAGTCAGCGATGCCTAATTAACAACCATCACAGGCTGTATTGGTTCTACGAAAGTTCAACCAAATCTCTGCAAATTAATGTCATTTCTTTTACCACCTGTCCTACTGCTCTCTCTCTCTCTCTCTCTCTCTCTCTCTCTCTAACAAGATTTTAATGATTGATTTCTGATAAGTTTGATCCAGAAATGGCATTCCTTACATTTAGAGAAGCTTGTGTGGAACTCAGATCTTTCATTAAAATTGCTGGTCCATCAACATTCACTAGCTATACCATTATGTAAGAAATGAAGTTCAAAGCTACACATTAAAATTTTGAAAATCCTCTGTAATGTAAGAAGAAGGGCACTTACGCAGTCAAGTTGTTATCTGCAAAGGGAACTTGCTCACTGAGAAGTAAAGAAATATTTATCAGAGACAAACCAGTTGGTTGCTTCCCGCCAATTTGTATCCTCTTTTCAGTAAATTGAACCTTAAATATGTGTAGATAAAATGAAGATGTCTGCCAAAAAGGAACGAGTATAAGTAACTGGCTTCTGTAAAACACAACAGAAAATCCATTACACACAGTAAGTAGAAGATCAAATAAAGATCGTAGTTCAAAAAAAAATGTTTTTCCTTCACGAGTGATAGATTGAATCACACTTGGCACCAGTTTAACAACAGGCAATACAGCAGCTCAAATATCCCAAATTTGATCAAATTCTTAAAAATAAGGGTGTGTTGAATAGTATTTTTTGGAGAATGTATGGTTGAAAAGTAAAGTAACTTTATTGGTTTGTATGTAAAATATTTTATTGGGTGAATGTGCGGTGGAAAATCTTACTCTAGCAAACAATTTTTTAAAATAATGGTACACAAAAGGGGCTAAATAGATAAATAAAAATTCACCAGGACGCTCGCATAAAGTGCTCTATACGATGACTTAGTTTATCCCTAAAGTTCAGATAAATTCAGTACACCAGTAATGCAACACTTACAAGAACGGCGATTAGCTTAGAGTCGGGGTTCCAAACAGCCTGCAAATTCTCCCCTTGTATCCGAATGGATGCTGCATCTCTCTTATACTTTCCTAATCTCAATCTATGCTGCAATTCCACAAATTACACACATATACACAATCAATTACAATTAAACCGCAATGTACGTAAAATACATATGTATACATAGGTGTATGACCTGAGAGGAGGACCAGAGCTCGATGTGAGAAGGCGAGACGACGAGGACCAAGCGATTGGCTACCTTGAGGTAGACGATCTGCTGTGTGGAGGGGAAACTCGGTAATTCCAATGAAATCACCTGCGGCCATCCATATGCCATATACATCTTCGGGTACGTATATCCGAATGTAAGCGTAGATATATAGAGAGAGAGGGAAAGATCGAAGAACGGGAAAACTAAATCTAGGGTTTTGGAAAAGTGAATCCAAACGGGATCGACGCCATTTCTAGGTGGAAGGAGAGGATCCGAGATGTCGAAGAACAAAAGACTCGTACTCACTATTTTCTACATTATGAAAATTTTGGGAATATAATTAGTAAAATTTCCATTTTGGGTCCCACTCTTTGCTGAATAGTGTAATTAGGTCTTTACTTTTCCAGTATTATAACATTTGAGTCCTTAACAGACTGCCCATGCTTGATTCAACTAAAAAATAAATAAAAAATTAAGTGAAAGTCCAAAATTAATTTTATCATGTATTTTATGGGACTAAAACTTTTGTCTACTTTTTAAACATATTTTTCATTAACTTTTATCGAAATTTACTAAAAATCCGATTTTCTAAAAATTGAACATTGACTATAAACACAATAGCATGCCCCATATTCTCAGATGCCGCCACCACTCCACATTTTTCCAACACTATTGTCGAAGCCTTAGCCTTAGCCTTAGCCATTGAAATGGATCAAAACCTATTGCCACCCATATCAAACTCCTTTGAAGGTATATATTGTATAGATTGATGCATATTTATTACTTCTTTCTTCTTCTAATGCAAGTCTCGATTGATCAAATTTAGCCATTTTACTCAAAATAGAGAGCACTCATACACATCCTATTTGCGAGTTTGAAAATGTGCTTACGATATTGTTGAATTGTTTGCCAGAGATAACATAGAAGATTGAACAAGCGATGCAAATAGATGAGAATGAGAGGCTCGAATGAGTGAGAGCAGTAGTTGATGATGGTTTTGGGTGTTGTGGTGGATGAGGTTCAAAAGATTGTGGCATTTTGTGACGGCTGGGTGGTGGGATGCCTTGATTGATTTGAAATTGGTGGTATTTGGATTTTTCTTTTCTTTTCTTTACATTTTTATTTTCTCTTTCTAAATTATGTGTTTAGTTTATTTTACTTGTTATAGTAAAAAATAATGACCATCGTATTTCTCTCTTAGAGCCCGTTTGGTGCACATTAAAATGAGATAATGCATTTTTTTGAAGTGATGTGATGGAGAATATGTGGTTGAAAATGAAGGAAAAGTTATTGATGTGATGGAAAATATTATTTTATTAAAAAATGTGTGGTTGAAAATGAGTAGAAGAATGAAAATGAAAAATATAATGTAGGTCAAACAGGGGCTATAAACTCGAAACTTTAATTCGTCTTCATCTAACAATTTAAACTTTCAATATCAATAATATTTTTAGTATCTAAGCAGATGCTCGTCTCAATTAATTTATATGAAGAATCATTTTGTATCGTATCGAAGAGAATCTTCTATTTGGACCAAAAAATATATTTTATTGTTGCTAAAAATAAAAAATTTTAAGAAAATTAATAGCGTTGACCTCGATTGCAAGGGATTCATAATTCATGCATATATAAAATTTAGATGCTTTTTGTGGCACGTTCCCTCCTAAGAAAGGTCAAACCCTAAAGGAAACTGCACAAAATAATTGGATAAATAAGTTAAATTTCTTCAATTGCATTAATTGAAATTTGAAATGGTCCATTTCATACAAATTAATTGTGGTCTGAAACCTCGCACAAATCTCGCCCACACTTTTAGAAACTTAACTTTAATTTCAGAGTCTACTCTTTTTTTTGTCATTTGCATGGTTTACATTTAAGCAAAGAAAAATATTGCCATCGCTCAAGAAACTTCGAGCATTTACTTTTGAGATCATTTAATTTATACATACGAAATATACTATCCATTTGACAAAATAAATAGATAACAAAATATAATTCAATAAGTAATGCATAAAGACTTCCGGACTATTTTTTTCAGAATGTTGACTTTCTACGATGAAATATATGACGCAGTATAGTGCATAGCTAAAAAAGTTCAACCAACAGTTCAGACTATCTGAACCTGAAACAAATAATCGGATATCAACATTATGCTCTCAAACAAGACATCATCTTACAAGGATAAAATCTCACAT